GCGAGCATTGAATAAAAGGGCGTATAATAGCTGTGTATATGATATATGTGTTGAGCCCTTATTTCATATGATATTTTGATGTTTTGCCAAAAGTTTTGCAACTTTTTTATAGTGAAGTGAAAATACAGTAAACAAAACGATTGTCAAATTGAATGTCCACTCAATTTGTTAATTAATGTCTTGTATTAAGTGGTGATTTGGAAGTGTTGGAAGCGCTGACCAATGGTGAAGACATACGTGAAGGTGTCTTACATTGGTTTTGTGTTGAGTGTGATAGGAGTGGGCATTGGATCCACTTTTGTGCCACAACTGAAGAGAGAGAAACGAGATTTTACTATTAAGGTCTGTATTGGTGTCCAAACTCTCGCTTTCATTATTATATTTTTAATTCAATTAATATCTAAGTATTGTTTGAATTCATTTCAGACTTCAGACAAACAATATATAGAAAGTCTGCCGAAAGACAACTATCGGAAAGCAATCGATGCGATCGCAAAGTCAGACAAACCATTCTTCGGCGGTAAACCCACGAAGGATTAGCTAATGGTTAGATTATTGTACATATTGTCTGTTAATTAGTATAGGTTTTTAATGGTTATATGAAGACTATTGATAGCATTTATGTGATGTAATATTTATAAATAAAAATACTTTTAAAAGTAAAATACCTTTTGATTAACATTTTTACGACAGAGACATGTCTTGCATTTAAATCACTTTAAAACAGTTGGCACTAAATATAGTGATAGTAATCTAAGTTTGAGTCCAGTATTTGTCTCCTCTTCTGCGGAGCCAATCAAGTGATGCAATTCAAGGATATTTTAAATGAGGGACTCTTTTGCTGTTAAAGACATAACTTGTAATATATTTTTGAAAATAATATCATTTAAACATTTGATTTGTCGTCTATTATACACTATAAAACAATTTTCAATACTGATTATCAATGAGTGCTTTAGCGAAACTCTTGATTAAAAATTGCGAACAAATAGTTCAGGTGTCCAGTAGTGGACAGAAGTATAAGAGAGGCAAAGATCAGGACGATATCGCCATACTTTGCAGACAAAACGGCATCGGCTGTAGTC